TACGTAAGTGTGTATGACTTTGTATGTATGTATGTGTGTATGTATGTATGTTTGTTTGTATGTATGTATGAGTGTATGTATGTATGTATGTATGTATGTATGTATGTATGTATGTATGTATGTATGTATGTATGTATGTATGTATGTATGTATGTATGTATGTATGTATGTATGTATGTATGTATGTATGTATGTATGTATGTATGTGTGTATGCATGTATGTATGTATGTATGTTTATACAAGTTAAAACAGTTTTCTTGCACTGATTCTTGCAATGAACGAATGAATGATGATGATGATGATGGTGGCGGTGGTGATGATGATAATGATGATATTAATAATTGAAATATGAGAAACATTAAATAATAGATTGTTTTTGCAAGGAAAATTTTTTAATCTGACAGACAGACATTTTGTATCATTATCATTATAGAAGTGGTAGTAGTAGTCATCATCATCATCATCACCGTCATCATCATCATCATTATCACCACCACCATCATCATCATCACCACCATTATCATCATCATCATAACGGTTTCCAACATGTGTGGCGTTAGATTTATAATTAGTCCAACGACGGTAAACGAACATAAAAATTACTACTAGCAGTAGTTGAAGTAGCTTCAGCAGCAGCTGCAGCAGCAGCAGCAGTAGTAGTAGTAGTAGTATTTGCTCTAGCAAAAAAGCGTTACTTGCAACTTTTATTTATCAAATGATAAACACTGAATAAAACCCCAGATTCATTATCATAATTTATGCAAATTATGCATGAACATATTCATCCCCTACGTCACAAGCTCATTAATAATCATTAGTTCCAGCATTAACAAATCTGTTTATGTTTACATGTACTGTTAATAAGAAACTTCACAATACTAAACAACAAAATAGAAGTTTCGTGTGTGTGTGTGTGTGTGTGTGCGTGTGTGTGTGTGTGTGTAAGCATGAATTGTTCGTGAGTGTACTTGAACGTAAGATTAAAAACTAGAACTGATAAAAAAAAGAGGTGCTAAAAAACTCAGAAGGAGGAGATGGATTGAGAGAGAAAGAGAGAGAAAAGAAACAAGAGAAAGAGAGAGATGGAAGGAGGAAAAGTGAGAAAGAGAGCTACTTAAAGTAAGCAAGATTAGTAATAGAATATAAAACTTCCATAAAAAATCATTTTTAGCATCAGCAACCAACTTTTTCAATACTACCTCCCAAACATTATATCATGATGTATCAAGCTTTCACTCTAGTACGTTCATTCTTTCGTTCATTCGCTCATTCATTCAGCCTTCCTTCATTCATTCGTTCTCTTTTTTCTAAAAAAAAAACAACCTTGAAACATTCGATCTATTTTATTTTGCTCATTCATTCATTTATTCAATATTTTCATTCACCAAATTACATATATGTACCTTTCTTTGTATGTTTGTATGTATGCATATGTGTGTGTGTATTTATATGTGTGTTGTGTGTGTATTTATGTGTGTATGTGTTTTTAACTTCATTCAAAATGCATTTAGGCGTTTGCAATGCTCTCCAGAGACACTGTTCATTTTAATATCAGTTAGTAGTATCAATAATAATATTAGCAACTTGTGTATGTCTTATTACAACGGATGTGTGCATGTTTGTATGAATGTATGTATGTATGTATTTATGTATGTGTGTTCGTTGATTGATTAAATTCTATTAGTTTATAATATTGTGATAATGATGATGATAATAATAATAATAATAATAATAATAATAATAATAATAATAATAATAATAATAATAATATAATGAAACAATAATAAAATCGATGATGAATAACAACAGAAATAACAAAAATTCTTTTTAAGCAAGAGTCTGGAGGTTATCAAGAATAAGAATGTTTGCAGATAATCAGCTGAAGCTAGAACCCAACATACTTACATACAAATATACATACACACTCACAAATACATACATACAAACATACTTACATATATACATACATACACACCACATACATACATTTACAATCATTTATACAAAATCTTTCGAAAGTTTCCAAGTTTATTTTATTTTTATCATCATTAAACAAATAGTTAAGCCGTGAAACAAATCCCTGAAACTTTGTTTCAACTTGTTGTGTTTTGTGTTGTTGTGTGTGCTGTGTTTGTGTGTTGTTTTTGTGTGTGTACGTGTACCGGTGTGTACGTGAGTTTATAGGATGAATATCTTGATGTTATTAGTGGGAATCTAATGATTTATTCTCACCAATCCTTAGTATCAAGTCATACACATTAGAACGCAATCGACAACACAGCATGTACTTGTACAACCAAAGCCAATCAAAAAACCGTCAACCAGTCACTTACCAACAGACACTTGACCAAGCAACAAACCAACCAACCAACCAGCCAACCGTTACAGATTAAAAAATAAATTACCTATAAATTGCATAGCAACCAACTTGCCCCAAAACATGGACCTTGTAACCGGCTCGGATCGTCAAGAAGTTTCCATATCCATTTTTTAACTCGACCCTCGTTGAAACAAGCCACTATATCGTACTCCGGAATGAAAGATTTGGCTTTTACATTAAATTCTGAACACTTAACCGAAATCATACCATGTCCAAAACTGCCTTCACATTAAAAAACTTAACTTTCCCATATAAATGACGAAAATTAGAACAAAAACTAGCGACTGTAGCCACCAGAAAAAATAATGCAAGCGAAAACTCAACATCGTGAGACTTCCAATTTTAACGTTTAACCCGCCATATAAAAAGTACTTTCCAACAAGACATACAAAAGATATCTATCATTTATAGCATTAATTTGGTAGCATTTAGAAAATTACTAACAAAACAGCTCAACCTTGTTAACTACGTGCGATTGCATGGTCCCATTATTAAGCTACCGAAATGCATGATTGACACACCTCCTCGCTAATAATCAAGCCGAAAAACTATTGAATTTTAATCTATTGAACTATTGAATTGACTTGAATTTTTTTTTTTTGACAATAAATATAGAAATATTTCGACGGTTCATTCATTCCACATATCAATCGATCAAGCAACATTCTAATCAACTGTTAATCAATCGCTTTTCTTCAAGTCTTTAACTTGTAAACCTGGAATTGAAAATATTAGATAAATTATAGAGTATTTAAGAAAAACTCACTGGCCTTAGAAAACAATTAGAGCCAGACAACCAATCAAAAATGTAATTAATTGAAACATAGCTAAAGTTAACACAGATGCTCTTGCATACTCTCTCTCTCTCTCTCTCTCTCACACACACACACGGACCAGGCGGCAAAGACTGTCTCAACTTATCGGCCTTCTCGTTATCATTGATGACCAGGGTGTATAGATAACGGCTGCACCTGACCTTGAACTTCACGTTGTCCTTGTTCTTCTTGATCTTGACAGCTGTAGAGTGAAGAAGAGAATGAAATTGAGTGAGAGAGAAAGAAAGAAAATGAATGAGAGAAGAGGAAAGAATGAGGAAGATAAATGAGTGATTTGCCTCATTCACAGAAGATATATGATAGATAAGTTAGACATAAGTTCATATTGATAACATAAACAGAATTGATGACATTAATTACAGCAAAGACATCAACAACAATAGCAGCAATAACGTCAATTTTTACATTTAGCATCAGCTCTTCTGGCTGTCAATAAGAAATCTTTGATTTCTTGGATCTGTTTTGGCTGCAAAGTTACAAAAAATATGAATAAATATAAAACAAATAAATAATTATTTTATACTAAACAGCAATAAATGTTAATAAAATTGTCAAAATGTAAAATATTTCGTTGATAATGATCAAAAAGAATAACCATCTTTGCTGATAATTGGAGAATTTCTCTGCTCACAACCTGATTACAAAGAAAAATTTATTTAAATATAATTTGTGAGAAAGTTAATAAAATTTAGTTTAAGAAAGCCCAAATTATAGATAGAAAACTCAATGTAAAACAGAAAATGTTATACAGAAAACACAATGTAAAAAGTGTAATCATAACATTATTCAGTATTGCAAGTAAGCCATTTTTATTCATAGAATGCATATATACACTCTCCAATAAGAGGTGTCAAAAATAGCTAATCATCATACATAATGCTACAACCGGTAAACCAAATATTTCTTCAAAATCCTTACACTTTAAAAATAAATATTATTAATTACACCAAATATAAAATATATTCCCATTAAATTAAGATTACGCTGTAAAAGAATAAGATTGCAACATCATCAGTACGGCGAGTGAGCGATTTCTTTTTTCAATTCATACCACAGATAGTGTCATGAATCGCTAGTCATCATTTCAGGTTGCAATAAACAATTTCCGCATTTATTTATCAACTAGAATAATATTGATGCCATTACCAAACAATAAAATTATGAAAAAAAAATCATTCAATACTTTACAATGATTAAAATGCACAAAACAGATTGTGAATTTTGAGCTATTAAATTAGTGAAATTAAAATAAAATAACGACTCGAGTAACAAAGGACAAGTCAAAATTATTGTCAGATTCAATCAGTTCTAAACTTGGAGAATAAAATGAGAAGATTGCAAAATCGTCAGTACGGCGAGTGAGCGATTTCTTTTTTTCTATTCATTTCACAAACAGTGTCATGAATCGCTAGTCATCATTCTAGTTTGCAATATGAAATAATCAATCACCATATTTGTTCATTCATTTATCAAAATTCTAATCAAATTTCAGACTTAAGCATCACAGGACAAGCTGATATTATGTAAAGAATCAGTGTTAAACTTGAAGAATGATAAAATGAGAAGATTGCAACATTGTCAGTACGGCGAGTGAGCGATTTCTTTTTTCTATTCATTTCACAAATAGTGTCATGAATCGCTAGTCATCACTCTAGGCTGCAACATAAATAATCAATTACCATATTTTTTTACTTATTAAACAAAATTTAAATTAAATTGCTAATTAAAATTCAGACTTAAGCATTACTGGACAAGGAGATTTTACCAAAATTCAAAAGAATCAATGTTAAACTTGAAGAATAATGAAATAAAAAGATTGCAACATCATCAGTACGGCGAGTGAGCGATTTCTTTTTTCTATTCATTTCACAAATAGTGTCATGAATCGCTAGTCATCATTCTAGGTTGCAACATAAATAATTACCATATTTTTTTACTTATTAAACAAAATTAATATTAAATATCAAATTAAAATTCAGACTATTACAGGACGAGTAGATTAATCTAAGCTCAAAAAATCAGAGTTAAACTTGAAAAATGATAAAATCAATAAGAGAATTGCAACATCATCAGTACGGCGAGTGAGCGATTTCTTTTTTCTATTCATTTCACAAATAGTGTCATGAATCGCTAGTCATCATTCTAGGTTGCAACATAAATAATTACCATATTTTTTTACTTATTAAACAAAATTAATATTAAATTGCTAATTAAAATTCAGACTTAAGCATTACTGGACAAGGAGATTTTACCAAAACTCAAAAGAATCAATGTTAAACTTGAAGAATAATGAAATAAAAAGATTGCAACATCATCAGTACGGCGAGTGAGCGATTTCTTTTTTCTATTCATTTCACAAATAGTGTCATGAATCGCTAGTCATCATTTCAGGTTGCAATATGAATAAAAAAATTCTCAAATCTATCTTATTTATTTATTATAGTCCTATTAAAACTGATAAGAGGACAATTTGCTGTTACTGTGTTAATTGGGGAAACCATGCAACACGTACTATGATGGTGATAACAATCACAAACGACACATACTATGATGGAATAGCAAAATTAAATAAAATTGTGATAAAAAACAACTGCCGTCGCGATAATCAGATATCGTAGAAAGCAGAATTTTATTCATCGACATTATATCTCCCATAAGAGGTGTCAAAAACTTTCAATCATCATTTTTTTCACACGGCACTACATAAGCTATTAAACGCATGAAAATATAAAGTTTAGCAAACTACGGAAAACAATGAATGAAAAAACAAATCAGAAAATCATATCGAATTGAAATAAATAGAATAATAAAAAAAACTTAATTAGGATTCTACAAGATTCAAACAGATTGAAAACATTCAACGAACCACCTAGCAGGGCCGAAAATTAGGAAAAAGGAAAAATATTGGCGGATGTATCTAAAGTTATTCCACAAAACAGGGATGAGCCCATTTAATTTAAACAAACAAACAGTTTTCAAATACCCGATATAACAGTACACAAAATGATTTTATTAATAGCTTATATTGAATTTGTTAAACTCATATAAATTTTTTTATTAAATTACTGTTTAAAATTCACCAAAATCATTATCAAAGTTCAGAAATGACTGGTCCAAACCTGTTTAAATTATAATAAAACTGAACGCAGTCATTTAAATAACAGTGCTAAAGGTGGATTTACAATGTAATTAAAATTGAATTGTAGATTAAAGACTGGTATAAAAATAAGCGTATTAGGACATTTTTCGGATGATAAATCAACATTAAACAGTTTTAGAATAAAATATTGATTAAATCATTTAATTAAATGGACGATAAAAATATTGACGAAGTTTTGGATAATAATTTAAATAACATGAAATTGAACTCTAACAACAAACTGCCCCCATATAACAGAGGTAGTGAAGATGGCGACGATGACGACGAAGAGGAAACTGGTGATGACGTTAACTCTCTTGGAAGCAGTAGTGACGATATCTCCAGAGGTTTTTTCTCAAAAATTCTTTCTTAAATTTATTTTTATAAATTGCTATATTTACTGATTCAATGGATTTCAATCTTACAAAATTTTATCGTCATATGACAAAGCTCTATAAAGCTATTTTTAAACAAGACTAAATCCTAATTTTTAATTAGAATTCTCGAATGTTGACTCCGCCCTTGATGAAATAAATACATTCATGGATGAGCTGGAAAGAAAAAATGACAAACTTTACTCAGAGATTAGGAACTTTCTGTTGGACAATGCAGCCCAGAGGAAGAAAGAGTTGGAATCATCGCAAGGAGGGGCCAACGATAAATACCCTGATGTTCAGTCAAAGAACAAAGAAAATAAAACATAGAATAAAATTGGGAGTGATAATAATTATTAATGATTGTAAAGTTGAAGGATTGATTGGAAAAACGATTTGCTGATTGATTAATTGGTTGACAGATTATTTTACTCAAATTTCATTCCAAATATACTCTAACTCCAAATAACCTCAACTTTCATATTATAATATTAAATGACCTATAAAATAAATAGATAACCTCTTCCAATCTCTCAATTAACCTATTCAATAACTTTGTTTTAATAATAATAATCCAGAAAAAGTATCACAATATTGTAACATTAATATTCTAAAGACATAGCAAATAGAAAAATGTTTAAACAAAAGTGATTACACCATTCACGGGTATACATACATACATACATATATATATATATATATATATACATACATTATATATAAATATTTTAGGTTTATATTATCATAAATACAATTATTTATAAAGATCGCTGCATTTTCATATATAAATATATATATATATATATATATATATTTATTTATCCATGGATGACATTTAAATTGAAGTAGGTTTCATCATGGCTGTTGCCATTTTCATTATATTATTTCATATGCTTATCTAATGAATGCATGTTCAAACTCTAGCTACTTACACACACACACACACACACACACACACACACACACACACACACACACAGGCATACACATACACACACACACACACACACACACAGGCATACACATACACATATCAATGAATAATGACTGCCATATTAGTAGAATGTAATTGATAGCATAATTGAATCAGCATTTGTAAAATAAAATAAGAAAGATATATTTATATATATATATATATAAATTAAATTACATCAATAATAATATTAATAATTATATTATCAATAATAATAATAAAGACGACTGATGATGATGATAGAAGCGATTATGATGATGATGATGAAATATAAAAGGAAGCATACACTGCATACAAGCATACACCAATAGCCTGTTCGTTATTTTTAATTATAGCCACATTGAGGGAATATAAAAGTGTATTATGTATAATTTAAAATAATTAAAAATAATTTCTTAAATAAAAAACTAAAAATAAATTAATTTCATATCGTTATAACCGACCCTTTGAACTTGTAGGGTGTGGTTAATTTTCTCTACGTGGGTTCCTGACACCTCAACAGACTTATTTAAGATGAACTTTATCAGAAAGAAAACAGCGCTGGCAATCACTTGTGTGTATTGATTGCCGGGCTCAATCACTCGTTTATTCAATCGTTAAAATCGTTAGAAAGAATGCAGCGCAATATCCAATCGACAGGTAAATCACGGAATAAAACCAATCGTCAATAATGAAGCTAATCTAGTCAGATGTTTCTTGGCCGTAAATCCTCAGTATTCGCTTCTCTGAAGATTATCGTAATTCACTGGCAGACCGCGTGTAGAATTCTCCGTGATGAACTTTTCCTCGGACGTTATCGCTAATTTGCTTGCAGTTCGCACACAAAACTTCTCTGCGATAGTAGGACTCTTCTTCTGCTCGAAACTTCTTCTGACCTCTTCTTAAATCTCGTTCTTCTTCTTCGTTGTTTTCTCTCTCTTGAATCTCGCTTCTGCGTTGTTTATATAGCTACCGATCTGCTTGTAAGTGTGCCACATTACAACCATTTTAATTACTTTACACCTTCTAATTAATTTAGAAGCGGTTCATTACTCAATGCATGCTAAACGATTCCAGACCATTAGTTTTTATCTTGATCTCACGTCTGTAAACTTTTGAAAAATAAGACCAAACAGCACCACCGACCACACAGTTTCTCGTATCTGCTTGCGACCAAATGAAAAACACTATATAGCGATTGAATCAAGAACCACAATCAATCAATCAATAAATCAATCAATAAATCAATCAATGCATACAAATAAAATAGTTCCCAGTCAGATGAATAATTATCTAAACATTTATTTATATTAAATCATAGAAAGACACCTAAATACACACATGTACAATACAAAATCACACACACATACATATATACATACATTAGTGCAGTACTCAAAACAAATAAAAACAAACAATACCCCATCAAACATACATACACACACATATAGAGACACATACAATCAAATCAAACACATACACACACTCAACACTTAAACACACACACACAAACACACACTGTCGCATCTGTTTAATCAAGCATGTTTTCACATCTGCTTAACCAAATGAGTTTTAAACTCGAGGCCAGATGTCTGCTGGTACTTAAGGGCAGGAAACAACAACACAGCCAGCCATCTCTCTCCCAACAACGACTCCACATTCCTTTTCCAGCTTCCCAAATCGTACTCATGGATGCTGCTACTTCTCTCGATGCATGTCTGTCCACATAACAAATTCCTCCCATGATAGATCAACAAAACTGTGAACAGCACCATTGATATTATGCAAGTGGCTGAGATGAAAGCAGCAAAAAAACCCACAGCCCCAGAGAAATTCAGTGCCCAGGATAACATGGGTACTACCATGGTAAAGATGGCTGTGAAGTTCAAACCTCCCAAAACTTCAAAAGTGTAGTCGAAGTTGAGGTAATTGCAGTAGACTGCACCAATGAGCAGATAGATCAGGAGGGAGAAGAAGTAATGCTGGTTTTGATGGCCAACACAGTTGCCTGTAAACGTGCAGTGGTGGTCCCTCCTGGTCACGCAGATGTCACAGACCCAACAGTGAGATGATCTGTAGGATGTTAATAAGTAAAGTAAACTCAGTTTTAACAAGTTTAAATTTGAATTTACTTACTTGATTGGAAATAAATAATAAAATACCTCGGTGGAGAGTTAGTCTGACACTGCGAGCAGTACCTCCACCCTGGCTGCAGCAGAGTTGGCAGCACCTGATTGGCCGTCGAACTGTCAATCAAAATCAGCTGGACGAAACTGAGCATCACGTTGAAATAGATGAACAATCCGGCAGCTGTGTGGAACCAAAACGTTCCCGTCCTTTCGTAATCGATGTACGGCAGAATGACGAACAACTCGTAGAAAGCAACGGCGTGTACGAGGACCACAAACAACCCGAACGATATTCGATCGCCAGAATTTCTCGGAATGAAACATTTATTCAACGCCATTGTCAATCAATTTTCTTCTCAAATTTTTTAAAATATAAAATAAATTAAGTAAAAAAAAGCTTGTGTATTTCGAAAAACAATTCAAATTGTTAAAAAAATTAAAAATATTCCGGTAATCCTGTCTCTCGAAAACACGGAAGTTTAATTTTAAACAGTTTATATGGAAAGCTAAAAAAATCTGTAATCTTTAAAAGTTAACCTAAACTAAAATACAATCCTCAATACTCATATCCTATCGCTTCAGTCATTCTTTCCCTCTCTCTCTCTCTCTGCTCTATCTCTCTTTCTGTTTTTTCCTCTCCCTTTTTTTTGTTACCCTCTGTTCAACTATCTATAAGGTCTCCAAGACGTCATGCATGATTTCTAGGTGCTCCAGGAGTTTTCCAGGCCGGACAGCCTGACTGCAAAGAGGACAGTGATTTTCCGGGCGGTGGCCGATGACGTCGCTGCAATCGTTTGCGTCGTACGTCTGCTGGCACTGGTCGCAGACGCTGATTAGAACGATGTCGTCGTCATTGGTGGTAATGTTGTTGTTGTTGTGGTTTGTGATGTTGTTGTTGTTGTTGTTGTGGTTTGCGATGTTGTTATTGCTGTTTTTGATGTTGTTGCTGCTGTTGCTCTCAAAACTGTGATCGCCATTGTTATAGTATGGAAAAACAGACGTAAGAATATTATTATTGTTGTTGTCGTTGCGAGTGAGGTATACAATTTTGTTATTATTATTATTAGTAGTAGTAGTGGTAGTAATAGTAGTAGTAGTAGTAGTAGTGGTAGCAGCAAGGAGCGTCGCAGTTAAGAAACCATCGTCTATATTGCTGTCACGAATGTTGTTGATGTGATTGTTGTTGTTACTATTATTATTATTGCCATTGTTATTATTATTATTGATACTATTGTTATTAATGTTGTTGTTGTTGTTATTATTATTGATGTTATTGTTATTATTGTTGTTGTTGTTATTGTTGTTGTTATTGTTATTAATGTTGTTGCATTTGCTGATGTTTATAACTTTTTTCTTTAAAAGATGTCCAAAGCCGGAAGCACCCAAGTTGAAAAAGAATTTCCCGCGTTGTTTATTGTTATTGTTATTATTGTTAGTATTATTATTATTGTTGTTGTTGCAGTTTTTGCCATCTTGGCAATCATTTTTAGAGATGATGATGTAATCAGATGAGAGTAAAAATACATCACTTATATCATCGCCGTCCGATTTGTTGATGTTGTTGCTGCTGGTTTTGTTGATGTTGTTGCTGGTTTTGTTGTTGTTGTTGCTGGTTTTGTTGCAGTTGTCGGATTCTTCACGACATAAGTTCTTTAACTCACGTTGTCGTTGGATTTTCAATTGCAGCTGATGATAACGACGATGATAAGGTTGTTGTTGTAGTTGCTGTTGCAGATTTCGATGTTGCAGATTCGGATATAGCTCTCGACAAATTTCATCATCGTCATAAGCATGACCACAACGGCCACCATCAGCGCTGTCGTCATCATGCAATGAAAGTCCGCCGTTAAAACCACAACACGTAGAGTTAACACAACTGTTGTTGTTTTGAGCTTGCAATTCTAAAATTTTCAACTCGGCTCTTCGGAGTACAGTGAACAACTTCAAGATGAATTGTTCACTTTTTATACAGTTGCCGCAACAAATGTTATCGTTGCCTTCATCCATATCATTACTCTTAGTATTATTACTCTTATTATTATTACTATTATTGTTATTACTATTATAATTGTTATTATTATTGTTGGCGTTCATGAATATTGCGAATAAACAAATTTTTTTTAGTGGTCACAGCTCTATATAGATACAGAAAGAGAGAGAAAGAGAGAGAGAGAGAGAGAGAGAGAGAGAGACAGACAGACAGAAAGAGAGAGGATATTAAAAATTACGAGGGAAATTCCCAATGTACATTCACTGCTCATCATCAACGTAAAATTTCTAATATTTGCATACACAGACACACGTATAAGTACACTAGACACACACACACGCACACGCACACACAAGTATTGCAATGCAATCATAAAACACTTGATATAACATAACATCTGATATATTATATTATTATATCATAGTTTATGAATTGCTATGTAAATAAACTATGAATCATAAATGTATTACCACTGGTGGTTGCGCGCACACACACACACACACACACACATATATATATATATATAGTGTGTGGGTTTGTTTGTTTGTGTATAAAGAAATAGTCAACAAATATTTCGAATTTTTCCATATTTCATTATGCATGAATCTTATCCATGTAGTATAATTATAACGCATATATATAATTATAATCAATAATTGATAAATCGAATAATTAATAATTGCAATTAAGATTATTTAATACAGTAATAATATTATCAAGAAAGATGCAAGATACGCAAATGCATACACAGGCACCATTACGATTGTATGTGTGTTTGTATGTATGTACGTATGTATGCACGTATGTGTGTATGTATGTATGTATTGTATATATATATGTATGTATGTATATATGAATGAAGCTTGTATCAACCTTTTAAGAAACGCCAGGCACGTAGCTATGCAACAATACCATCATCATCAACAACAACAATATAATTAATGATAATAATAAAGAACAATTATATTAAAATAGTAATAATTACATCAATTAATTAACGAACGCGGGTCATTCACTTGACTATCTATGAAAAACTAATTAATTGAATCAATCCCATCATATATAATTTGTTTTAATAATATTATTTTTAATTATTATTTATCACCATAATTATCGCTTATTATTAATATTATTATTATCACTTACTGTGATTATTATTATAGCAATCATCAGTCAAAAAGCGAGTATACGTTCGTAATGTATAAAGTAAAGGGTGAAGTATGTGGCTCTGACTAAGGTAGCGAGTGATGTGATACTGACTATCATTCAATCGTTCATTCATTCAACCATTCATTCAATCAATCCTTATTTCAATCAATCATTCATTCAATCAATCAATCATTCATTCATTCATTCAATCAATTAATCTTTTAGCCAATCAATCATTCAATCGTAAACTCGAGAGAGAGAAAACACTAATCAAACAGTCAACCTACAAATGAATCATTACACATAGGATGCATGAATGAATGCATGGCTGATTGAATGAATGAATGGCTGAATGAAAGAATGATTGAATGAATAAATAGTGAGAGAAAGAAAAAAAGATTGAAGGAACGAACGAACAACAGTGCAAGAGTCGAAGCAAGACTAAAAAAGTGTGAACTGAAAAATTCGAATAGAAAATTCATTAAGTACAAATAATAAATATTTATAATAATAATAACAATAACAATAATAATTTAGGCTTTTGAATTCATAATCAGTTTCTCTTTAATTACATATATTTTGATTATTACAGGAAAAAAACAGGGGTTATTAAGCCTTCATTGCTCCAAAAATCAAAAAAGAAACACAATAACAAAAATAATAAAAATTAATATTATTATTATTATTATTGCGAATTGACTGACAGCTGAGGAAAATGACTAAGAATTTAATAATACTATATATATATATATATATTAAAAGAATTATGTGTCAATCAATCAATCAACCAATCAACCCATCAATCAATCAATCAACCAACCCATCAATCAATCAACCGACCGACCAATCAACAAACATTTCCGCGGAGCTTTTTGTTTCTATACAAATCAAAAAAATATAGAGGGTAAGAGCATGATTGAGGGGATTTTTGAAAAGTAAAAATAGCTACGAAGTAATAATTAACATGATCATAATAATAGGAACGTTAATAACAATAATAACAATATCAACAACAACAACAATAATAATAACAATAATAACAAGAGACAACGGAATGCAATGAATGTTAGTTAGGTCACTTGTTTAAAAAAAAATTGATTCGAAGTGATCTCTCTCTCTCTCTCTCTCTCTTTCTCTCTCTCTCTTTCTCTCTCTTCCATAATAATAGCAATCAACAACAACAACAACAACAACAACAACAAACCACACAACTATCAAAGACTACATACAAAAAAAACATGTATTAGCACGATTCTACATGTATAGGATATATATATATATATGTATATATATATATATATATATATATATATATGAATAGAAAAAAATCAGGCATATATCAATATATGAAGCACATATATACATATATGTATATATATATATATATATATATATATCTATACACAGGTATACATAAAGGTATTTGTGTGTTTTATAAAAAATGTCCAGTACAAAAAATTATACAATATAGAAAGTCATTAATAATGATGATTTAAGGTTATACAAAAGCTAAGAATGAATTATAAGTGAATTATGAAATATATAATTATGTTGGTCGGACTAGGCGTATACAATCGATCAATCAATCAATCAATCAACCAATCAATTAATTAGTTAGTTGGTTGGTTAGTTAGTTATGAAACTGAAGATTTCTTTCGTGACTTGACTCGAAGACTACCGTTCCTCATCTCAAGAAAGACGAGGAAAAAAAATTATCTCACTGTAAGACACTGGCAAACAAACGCGCAATCAATCAATCAATCAACCCATCAATCAATCGATCAATCACTCAATTTAAAAACTAACAAATAGATCAATTGACTATATAGCACTATATAATATGATCATCAAATACATCCATGCACCATGCATTCAACCATCCATCCATCCACTCACTCATTCATTCAATAATTCATTCAATCAATCATTCAATCAATCATTCAATCAATCAACAAATTAACAAACAAATAAATAAATTTTTCGGCCATCAATTAAAGTAAAAGTAAAGACAAACAAAAAGTTAACACGATCATTATTTAAATCGCGTATGAAATGAAAGCAACATGACCAACCAGCCAATAAAATATTGCAGTGGAAAGCCACCTCATCCTCCCAGCCAATCATAAGTCTCGACACAAAAGATCAACCAATTTCAATACAGAAAAAAAACGCTCCACCAATCACAAATCACCAGGCGACAACAGCTGGCCAATCACATGGCCTCGAACATGTCGACCCTCTGCTTAGTGTTGCCTTGCCTGATCTGCTTCAGAGTCTTGTACTTGTCGCGACCCTGGTTCACGTTCTGCCTGTGTAGGATGTCGTTCCTCGTCACCTGGCTGTCCATCTTTGCTTCGGCCAGGTCAGCACTCAGAGACTGATTGGTGGTACAATTGAATGAAGAAACTAATGATGAAAGAGAGAAAGAGAGAGAGAGAGAGAGAGAGAGAGAGAGAGAGAGAGAGAGAGAGAGAGAGAGAGAGAGAGCAGAGAAGCCAATCATCATTCAGCTACCATTACAGTTACAACCTTCAGCTGTGCATTCATCCTTTCATTCTTCTCAGCCTGTGTCAGTCGTTCCTCTTCCGGGCGAGGAATCGACCCATTTTCAACAGTCAACAACTCGTGACCTAGTTTGAGGCGATCATCATCATAACCCTTATCACCAACACCATAATCATCATCATCACCAACATCATCAGTATCATTACCATCATCACCATCATTGTTTGAGGTAATCATCATCATAACCCTTATCACCGACACCATCATCATCAACAGCATCATCATCACCAACAGCATCATCAGTACCATCGATAGCGCCACCATCATCACCATCATGGTTTGAGGTAATCATTATCATAACTCTTATCACCAACACCATCATCATCATCACCATCATCGACATCACCACAAACTCTGTTCTGAAGCTTTATCATCATCCTCGCTTGCAGTTTCATGCTCAATGACGAGCACATTGGTGTTCTTGGGAGAGGCCAGGGCTTCCTCAAGGGCCCTCTTGTTCTCCTCCATCTGTATACGGGCCTGTGTGGAAAATCCATCTATCAGTCAGTCAATTAATCAATCAATTAATCAATCAATCCATCAACCAAGCAATGAGCGTACCTGTTCAAGTTCTGCCTGCAACCTTCTAGATTCTTCCTCCTTCATTCTCGTTTCTTCGATCTTTTTATCCAACTCCTCCTGCGCCTCTCTCGCTTCTCTCTCCTAGTAACGATGATGATGATGATGTGGTGAAGGAAATGAAATGAAGGAATGTCAATCAACGTCACAATCATTACTATGACTGGCAAGAGCAGGACAACCACAAACACCCTGACCTTGGCTTCTCTTTCAGCCTTCTCAAGGTCAGCGGCCATGACAGCCTCCCTCCTAGCTTCCTCTGCTTTCCTCTGTGCTTCTTCCAGTTCTCGTCTCTCTCTTTCTGCTTCTCGCATCCTCTCCTCCAAACTCAACGTCATCTTGTGGCTCTTATCCAGTTCTGAGGTGAGTGAGTGAGCGAGCGTGTGTTAGGTTTTGAAATAAATAAAATATTTCTCAGCCGTCCATTGAATCAATCAATTAATCAACCAGCCAGCCAATCAGAAACTAATCTTCAAAAAATAGCCCCCCTGCCACTACACTAACCAATCCTGGCTCTATTGAATTCCTCTTCATACTTCTTCAACTTATCCTCCAGTTCCTTCCTCTGCCTCTCTGCCTCCTCTCTCTGCTGCTTCTCCTTCAGCAATAACATCCTGTCAATCAAGCAAACAATCAGCCAATCAGTAAGTAAATCCATGAATACAACAGTCAGTCTATCAATTAATAACAGACAGACAGACATATACAAGCACAGACAGACATACAGACAGACCTCTCCTGTTGTTTGGCCATCTTTTCATCTTGCGTCTGCGCCTTCATCTGCTGAACTTCAATGGTGTCTGGCTTGCGGCGTCTCATATACATCTCGTGGTTGCCCATGCAGAGTGCCAGTATGCGCTTGTTGATGCGCATGTGACTCGTGTAAAAGATGAAATCCTGTATGCCAGTAAATAAATGTATGTGTGTGTGTGTGTGTGTGTGTGCGTGTATGTAGGTATGTATATGTGTGTGTTTATTGTTTGCATGTGTGTGCGCGTGTAACTCGACCAACCGGGGCTTTCTTATCGATGGGCTTGATGACAAACTTCTTGCTACTGAATGACACATTACGTATCTCGCTCCACGGGAAGCCAATTTTCGGAGTCAATCTGATCGATTGATTGGTAGGATAACCAACCAATCAATCAATGAACCATCTAATCAACTAACCAACCAATGAACCATCCAATCAACTAACCAACCAACCAATCAACTAACCAACCAGTCAACTAACCAACCAATCAACCAACCAATCAACTAACCAATCAATCATCACAGAAACTCACTTATCTTCCTTCTCATAGATGTTAATCCCGAGTGCGTCGACACCGAGCCACAATTCCGTGCCCTTCTTGTTCTTGATCTCAAAGAAGTTCACGCCGTACATCTCGAGATCTTGCGCTATCTTCAGATATTCCAGCATGGCGTCTTCCCTGGATGGTGCAGTTGCGTCATTGGTTGATTGATTGCAGTAGTAGTAGCAGTAAAAGTAGTTTTAGTAGCAGCAGTAGTAGTAGTAGTAGTAGTATTGTAGTAGCAGTAGTAGTATTAGTTGTAGTAGTAGTAGCAGTAGTAGTAGTAGTTGTTGTAGTAGCAGTAGTAGTATTAGTAGTAGTAGCGGCAGACGTAGTAGCAGCCGAAATAAAAACGAGAGAAGGTAGAAGAAACAATATGGAAGCAGTATTAGCAACTGCAGAAGTTGTAACTGTAAGAGTATCAATAAAAATTCTATACAAAAATAGAATTAGTTACACTAGAACTTTTTTTTTAAATTAATTAAATGTAAAAACTTCAGAAACCGAACCCAAATTAAAGCTAAATTACATTCAAATGAATAATTTTTAACGAGAAAAATTGATTCCTGTACACACACTAGAACTGGATCTCATGTTACAAGGGGTACCTTTTAAAATACTGTACATATTGATGAAGCATGCATTGTACATAACCTATCTGAGTGTATAGGCACGCATACATTAAAATTAATAAACAGTGAAAACCTTCAATTATATTGATAAGACTTTGAACAGCAAGGAAACGAAATTTTAATGAATAACACTCTTTGGCAAAAAATTTGACATGCATATTTGCACACACATACATACATACAAACATACATACATACACTCACTCACTCATTTCGTACATAAAACTGTCAAATCACAAAGTTAAACCACGAACGAAGGCACAAACAACCAAATGAGCTAAGGGCTTTAATTAAATCAACAAAGAGGATAAGCACTGAAATAGCATACAGGAGCCATTAATGTATTCATACAATCATACAGATTCATACAATCATACAGATTCATGCAATCATACAAATTCATACAAACTCATACAATTCCTACAAGTTAATCCCAATTCTAAACAAAAACACTGAAAAACACAAACACAAACAAAACTTATAAATGTGACCACAAATAACACAAAAAAAGCATGACACTCACCAACACTCAACGAGATAAAAATTATACTACTATCAAAATGCAAATTTGTATCCTCATTGTAGAGCCAGCCAATCTAATTACAGGACACACCCATGCACGCACACACACAAACGCACACAAACAAACCACACACACACACACAAACACACACACGCACGCACACAAACACACGCAGACAAACCTTGCCATTCCTTTGTGCTCTTGAAACCACACAGTAATACGTTCCTCCCACTGCTCCTTGCTCATTGTATGTTGGTCTAAGACTCTGAAGGTTGTGTTAGGTGCGAATGTACAGTGTGAAAAAAATGAAATAAATGAATGAATAGCATAACTGACAAACTAAAGTATGTACCATATACATAAAAACCCCAATCAAATATATACATACACGGCAACAAGATCAACCTAATAAATATTCATTCATTACTTAATAAATAAATCTCTAACCGATTAGGCAGCAGCCTATCATTGGCCAGGAAGCCAGGGAGATGTACCTGAGGCTGGTAGTCCCCATATTTGGTCTGAACGGCATACGAAGCAAGCAGGACAGACGTTTCCGGAGGGCAGTACACCTCGTCGGACAAGATGGCCTCCTTGACTTGTAGGTAGAACATTTGCTGTTTGGATGGTGCATTTGGTTTAGTCGTTTGGGAGATTGGGCTTGTGAGTAGAATTCTCACACTCATCATCACTAACTTCGTACTCATTATCATAATTATCACCACATCATCACCTTGGTGATGTCTTGGATAAGCTCCTCAGAGGCATCTTCCGGGTAATACTTGGCTCTGAATCTGAACTGCAGAGGTGTCTCCTTCTTTACATCCTGGCTCTGAACCTTTGTTATCATCATCCCCATCATCACCGTCACCATCACCACCATCCTCATCGTTATCATCATCATCATAACTATCACTATCACGACCACAGACCTTCTTCTCCAGCTTCAACCACGTAACTAGATTCTGGCTGTCAGTGAACTGCAGGCCAAAGTACCATGTCTCTCTCAGGCCTATTGTTTTCACAACCTGGTAGGATCAAACACGCATACATCAATGCATACGTACACAAAAACATACACACATACATACAAACAAACATACTTACATACAGACATACAAACAAACATAAGCACATATATACATACAAAGATACATACATACAGACAAAAAAACATACATACATACAAACATACATATATATATATATATATATATATATATATAAACATACATACATACATCTAATACAATAAAGACCTGATCAAAAAGTTGTTTCCCGGTAGTGGTATTTTGGATGGCAAACTCCAACTCCGCATCCATTGTAGTCACACGAACATTCACCTTACAAGTTAATTTCAAATATATAATAAATATATTAATTGTAATAATAAATGAATAATAAAGTTTAAATAAATATTGAAATAACTCAAAAATTAGACATTATAATAGAGGTAAGGCAGGTAAGACATGCCGAAGCATACTTACAGTTTTAGGCATCTTCAACTTTTCTGTGATTCACCTTTTAAATTCAATTTTTATACGAAAACAAATTTAATTCTCAGATAAAAAAATTATTATTTGCATAAATAAGCAGTCGTGTTGGGCATTGAACTGTGTTGGAATAACTAATTGAATGGTTGAATGAATACAATGAGATAGGGAATGAATAAACACTTTCAGACAAATTTCAAATCAAATATTTTGAAAAATTGAAGCAGCTTGATTAGGCATTCTATAAAAACAGAATGATAAGTTCAACCTGCCTAATTACACTAAAAAGATTTTGACAACACTAAATTAATTTCAGAGAAGGACCCCTGTCTAACATTTCGAATTTATTTTTTGGTTAGTGGTTATTTATATGAAATTAAAACATTTTAAATCTTCTTTGAGTGGTGTTATTAAGTGGTAAATAGATTCTAGTCTAGAATAAACAAAAAACATATTATTTTATAAAAAAAATAAATACAAGTAGGAAAAATTTTAACAATGAGTTTTTCAATAATATCATCAAATTAATATTTTAAATTTTAAAAACTCTTTCTATCATTTCATTTATTTATACATTTTTAACTTTTTTTTTAAATACAAACAAGTGGCAACACAAACTGAACATGTTTGATTTGAACTACCACTGAAATTTACATTAAAAACGTCGGTCTAAAATTTTAGAATTAAAAAACAGAACTTTTTAAAACAAAATTAAAATGTCCATTTTTTAAACTTCTAAATTTATGAAAAAATGAATTTTTAAAAGGCACAGCTTCAGCCTTCAGCACAGGTAAACAGTGAAAATCCTGTTCAGATTGTTTTACAAAATAAGACTTCTAAACAAACATTTCAACTGAAAATTTAGTTTCAGATACATACTCTAATTAAGAAATTTTCACTAACTTGGGCCTAAAATTAAAAAAAATTGAAATTTTAGTGAAAAATCGCTCGCGAAAAACGAGAAATATATCAAATAATACGGCAAAGATCAGGTCCGTTTTCCTGTCTTTAAGTTTTAGTAAGTAAGACGAGATTTATTTAAAGTAAAAAATTTATCAACATCCTTAGTTTAGTATAGTATAAATGAGGTTTAAGTTATTGAAGTGTAACAAATTTCAAATAAAAATATGTCACAGTTCCAATAAAAACTATATTAAATTTTTAATAAAAGCAAAAAAAAAGTAAATTTTAGCACTTCTTAAAGCTTAACATTTGTCTTAAATTCAATGCTATACCATTGAGCTTAGAAATTTCTCCATCTTACGTCTTTATTGTTATTAATAATATTTTCTTTTTTCACATGTTTAAACAATGGTAGATTAATAATAATAATAACAACAACAATAATAATAATAATAATAATTAGCATGTTAAGAACACTGCTGGTTGAAATTGTAATAATTTATATTATTATAAGTGAGTGTCTCCTCTATTAAGATCGAATTACCAAGTGCATTCAATCAATCAACCAACCAATCAACCAAACAGCCAGCAATTCAACCGACCAACCGTCTAGCCAATCAATCAACCAACTAACCAACCAACCAAACAAACAATGAATCAATTAATGAATCAGTCGTATATAATACAAACAACACACGCTAACACACACACACGCACACACACACACGTTAGCAGGCAGTAGTTGTGGCGACTACATAGGCTGCTTTAGTCAACTGACGCCACTCAACTACACGATGGCCGATTCTCTGGATGAATGTAAACAATTCTGTGAAATGAATAACCATGATTTTTTTGCTATTGTTAGTAAAGCATGTGTGTGAGTGTGTTTGTTTGTGTGTGTGTGTTTGTTGGTCTGTGTGTGAGTGTGTTGTGTGTTGTGTGTGTGTGTGTGTGTGTGTGTGTGGCTGTGTGTGTGTGTATGTGTGCCTGAAGAGAAGAAGAAGAAGCGTTGAACCTTAAATTAAAGAGAAAAATAAATTTTTACCAGAGAAAAACCAGTTGCACGTGCATAATAAACGCCAAATACCCAGTCTTTTCAGATATCTGTTCAACCGAATGCGAGAATGAGTTTGAAAAATGTGGCGGGGAGTTTCATCACTCCGTTTACTCTGTGAAACCTGGTAGGTTGGTCGGTCGGTCGGTTGGTTGGTTGGTTGGTTGGTTGGTTGGTTGGCTGGTTGGTTGGTTGGTTGGCTGGTTGGTTGGTTGGTTGGTTGGTTGGTAGGTAGGTAGGTTGGTTGGTTGGTTGGTTGGTTGGTTGGTTGATTGGTTGGTTGGTTGGTTAGTTGGTTGGTTGGCTGGCTGATTTGTTGATTGATTGGTTGGTTGAATGTTTATTTAATTTAACTAACCAGCCAACCAGATCATCAATTAACCATCCAACTAATCGATAAACCATCAACCAACCAATCAATCAATCAGTCAACTAATCAACCAACCAATCAATCAATCAACCACCCAACCAATCGACTGACCAAATCCAAATAATTCAGTAATGACCTCAAACAACACGAGAAATTCGCTGATGGGCTACACGAAAAAGTTTGAATCGAAATTCGTCCACACACACGAAAATGTGACCTCTGACTACACCTGCCTGCTCATATGCCTGCATTTTCAACGTACATACGCCGTGTATGATGTCAGTTATAATGAGAACATCCTTTTAATTTCATTCTAAAACATAGGGTGTTGTAATTATAAAGTTAAAATATTAAAAAGTTAAAGTTAAAATATTAGAAAGTTAAAGTTAAAATATTAAAAAGTTAAAGTTAAAATATTAAAAAGTTAAAGTTAAAATAATAAAACTCATAATGTAAATTATATAGATATAAAATATAAAAGTTAAAATTAAGAATGTAAATAATATAGATATTCTACAATGCTTGCCATACAATTTAGAATGGGCACAAAGAGAAATAGAATCAGCATTAAGTTAAGTTCAAATCGCGTTCCACTCACAGTAAATTGCGTAAGATGACGATACTACGGGACTAATTGAAACTCTTTAATCATCAATAAATCAATAGGTGGAATGAAATAAAAAAAGAATTTCATTGTGCAGTATAATAATAATAATAATAATAATAATATTAATAGTAATTAATAATAATAATTTTATAATTATTGTTATTAATATTTTTTTTTATTATTGCAAGGAGATAACGAAAGAATGCGGCTGTCTTTCAAACTACTATGAGATCCATTTCGAATCCCAACTACCTGTCTACTCTGGCTAGCGAACTGAATGAATGAATGGATGGATGGATGGATGGATGGATGAATGGATGGATGGATGGATGGATAGATGGATGGATGGATGGATGGATGAATGAATGAATGGATGGATGGATGAATGAATGGATGGATGGATGGATGGATGAATGAAGGAATGGATGGATGGATGGATGGATGAATGAATGAACAGGTAAAAATCAATTTAAGTAAAAGAACAATGAATCATTGATAAATATATAGATATTTTAATTAACTAATTAAAGAACGAAAGAATGAATGAATGGATTACCAAACCAACTATCCATCCAACCAACTAACCAACCAACCAACCAACCAATCAACCAACCAACCAACCAACCAATCATCCAACCAACCAATCAACCATCCAACCAATCAACGAAGGGCTCTTCCAGTTCTTCAACACGTACAACCAATCAGTAGTGTCCAAGTGTAAAGACCCAGAGATCATTGGCACGATTTTTGATGAGATCGCCAAACAGTGCAGTTGTGCTCCAGGCTGGAAAGGAATTCTCTGCTCAGAAAGAGGTCAGTTGAATGAATGAATGAATGAATAAATTATTGAGTTAGTGATTGAATAAATGAATGAATTAATGGATGGATGGAAAGATGATTTTATACATGATTGAATAAAAAAAATGAATGAATGAACGAATGACTGGTAGCTAGATTGGATTGTTGATGTTGATTGCAAAAAAGATTGCAGCGTTAACCAAGGCGGGTGCGGCCCTAAGCAAGTATGCCTGGTGTCATTAATCAACAAAAAGCCCTGGACAGAATGTGCTTGCATACCTGGCTACCTAAGGGTTGACTATTATACATGTAAAGGTCATACATACGTACATACATACATGCATGCATACATACATACATACATACAGACAGACATACATACATACATATAGACAGACAGACAGATATAAAACTTTAATTAAATTTTTCCATTCAACGTTCTAGAGGCCGACAAAATTAGAAAAAATTTAGCGGCTGGAAAAGCGACAAAATCCAGGTAAGATTGAAATTTTTTTACACCACACACACACACACACACACACACACACACACACACAAACAGGCACACAGACTTATCGGACAATCTAATTACACAAAATAGATACATCCTATCAAAATTTTGTATAATTAAAACAAACAAAAAACATAAAATAGAAAAAAAATAAATAAAAAACTAAAAAAAAACAACAGCTCCTTTAGACAGGCATCAAGTCGAGGGAATTTCGGATCGGAATATGTAGTAGATGGATTTATACTGGGGCCAAACTATTTCGAAATGCAAAATCTCGCAGGTATCCATGACATTGTAAAACATTTGCTAGTCGATCTAGTCAGAATGGCGATAATAGAGATGGTTGATGTATATATCTTTGGATACCCCAGCGTCGAGACCGGTTAGGGATTAGTGATTAGATAGGGATGTGATGATGACGACGAAAATGATGATGATAATGATGAAAAGACAAACAATTTGGAGATGATGATAACGAATTTCGTACCACAGTGGCGAGAATAGCTAGTTTTCAAGTCAGCTTAACAGACAAGTTCTTGCTCCATATGTTTACTACAGGATCCAAAACGTAAAATTTGTATACACACCACACACACGCACACACGCACACACGTACACACGCACACACACGCGCACACACACACACATAGTACATTAGTTGGCATGGTAAATTGCATCATTGGACCCGTAAATGTCTCCGTTGTTGGGATACCTTATAGCGTTCTATGCCAGAAGAAACAGTACTTCAGGTTAATTGATCTAATTAGTCTCGATCAATCTAATTGGTTTTAATTAATCTAATTAGTTTTAATTAATCTAATTAGTTTTAATTAATCTAATTAGTTTTAATTAATCTAATTAGTTTTAATTAATCTAATTAGTTTTAATTAATCTAATTAGTTTTAATTAATCCACTTAGTTTTAAGTTTTAATGGTGGCGTGATGGCTCATTGTTTAAAGGGGGCCTGGTCTTGCTACTGCAATGACTGGGTTCGAATACAAAGAGATCTCCGCCTATCATATGCAATGTGTATGATGCGTGGTTTGCACGCGCATTCATACACGCTGTGTGTGTTTGTCGTTGAAACCTCTGAAGCAAACTTAAAAGAGAGGGATTAACCTTTAACCTTTAATAAATTTAATTGATATAATTAACCTAATTATCATCATCATCAGATACGTCTTGCTACAACAAGCAAGGGGCAACGAAATGTTGGGCCCGCTGACCATCACTGAGATTGAAATTTTTGGAAAGGGTATCTACTCACATCAAACAACCACACACACACGCACACGCACACACATATATATACACACACATACACATACACACATAATTATACATACAATACAAACAAGCAAAACAAAGACAGGAACACCTTTATTTAAATTTACTGTACAGGCATACGGCGGCTTTCGTTTTTTTTTTTTCAAATAAACAAATATACATACCACAAATACCACACAGGCCACACCACAAAGACCACACACACCACAAAACCACACAAACCACAAAGACCACACACACAACAAAGACCACACAGGCCACACCACAAAGACCACACACACCACAAAGACCACACAGGCCACACCACAAAGACCACACACACCACAAAGACCACACACACCACAAAGACCACACACACCACAAAGACCACACACACACCACAAAGACCACACACACACAACAAAGACCACACACACACAACAAAGACCACACACGCCATACCACAAAGACCACACACACCACAAAGACCAAACGCCACGCTACAAAGACCACGCCACATCCCCCACACACCACACAGAATTTGACGACCTTCACCTCTATTACGTCGGCTGTTTCATATTTTTCGCCTCAATGACCTATGCGAAAGTGACAAAGTTGCAAGAGTGCAAAGCTCTGTGCACCAGCATCGCCGCCATCTTTATGGCCGTTAAAGTGAGGAGTTTCAAGTAGTATTTCTCAGTAAAACACACTCTAAAACCAACCAGAAACACTCCGAAAGATTAGAAAATATTCAATACAAAACTCTAACAGGACAGACGACTCGAAACGAGCATCAACAACTTTTTCTGTTGCACTTTTCGGAATGAATGAATGAATGAATGAATGAATGAAAGAGTGAGTGAGTGAGCGAGGGAGTGAGGGAGTGAGTGAGTGAGTGAGTGAGTGAATGAGTGAATGAATAAATAAATGAATGAATAATTTCCACCTTCTCTCCATCATCAGCGTGGCTTCCAGTGCCACTGTGGTAGCAATTTGGACCACAAGGTCGATTCATTGTACTGCAGCATTAGGTGCTCCGACTCGGAGGATTTTTGTGGAGGACCTGATCATTTTTCAGTGTACAGTGGTAAGGATGACGACGATGATGACGATGTTGATGTTGTTGTTTGTTGATGATGATGATGTTGTTGTTTGTTGATGATGATGATGTTGTTGTTTGTTGATGATGATGATGTTGTTGTTGATGATGATAATAATAAAGATGATGATAATGATGATGATAATGATAATGTTGTTGTTGTGTTGTTGATGATGACGATGATGATAATGGAGGTAATGATGATGATGATAATGATGTTGTTATGTTGTTGACGATGACGATAATAGAGATGATGGAGATGTTGTTGTGCTGATGATGACGACGATGATTAATAAGAAGAGGAAGTTTGAGAAGAAGAAGAAGAAGACGATGATGCTGGAGCAGCTGATGATGATGATACACACATTTTTTTTCTTCAATTCAGACCCCATATACGCTACTGCCCTTCTGAGTTGCTTCGAGGAAGACCCAAACTCTACCCTGACAGGCAAAAACTCTGGAATTTTTTTTAAAACAAACAAGAAGTTCGTCTTTCTCCTCAATACCTGTTATTCCAAGTGCCGGGAGTACAATTTCTCGTTCGCTGCTGTCAAAGTTGGTTGCATGTGTGGTTGGATGGATGGATGGATGAAAGAATGAATGGATGGATGGATGGATGGATGGATGGATGGATGGATGGATGGATGGATGGATGGATGGATAGATGGATACAAAGATGGATGAATACATAACTAAGTAAATGTATGTTTGATAAGTAGATATATAAACATGTAAAAAATTAAATTATTCATACGCACGGTCATTCTATAATTCATTCATTCATTCATTCGTTCGTTCGTTTGGTCGTTCGTACGTTCATTCATTTATTCATTCATGATCGATTGATTGAAAGAACACAAGGTATTGTTCGTGTGGCAACTCGTTGGAGGGCTACACAGTGGCCAGCAACCAGAGGAAGTGCGACAAAAGTTGCGTCGACAGCCACAACCTCAAATGTGGAGGGGTCAATGCCTCGTCCATCTACGCAAGTAAATCATTCTAATTGGTTTTAATTAATCTAATTGGTTTTAGTTAATCTAATTGGTTTTAATTATTCTAGTTGGTTTTAGTTAATCTAATTGTTTTTAATTAATCTAATTGGTTTTAGTTAATCTAATTGGTTTTAGTTAATCTAATTGGTTTTAGTTAATCTAATTGGTTTTAATTATTCTAGTTGGTTTTAGTTAATCTAATTGTTTTTAATTAATCTAATTGGTTTTAGTTAATCTAATTGGTTTTAGTTAATCTAATTGGTTTTAGTTAATCTAATTGGTTTTAATTATTCTAGTTGGTTTTAGTTAATCTAATTGTTTTTAATTAATCTAATTGGTTTTAGTTAATCTAATTGGTTTTAGTTAATCTAATTGGTTTTAGTTAATCTAATTGGTTTTAATTATTCTAGTTGGTTTTAGTTAATCTAATTGTTTTTTATTAATCTGATTGGTTTTAGTTAATCTAATTGGTTTTAGTTAATCTAATTGGTTTTAGTTAATCTAGTTGGTTTTAATTAATCTAATTGGTTTAATTGACCAAATTATCATTATCCATGACAACATCAGATGTGTCTTGCTACAGCATGTTGTGCGTGTGTATATGTGTGTGTGTGTATGTTTGTGTGCGTGTGTATGTGTGTGTGTATGTTTGTGTGCGTGTGTATGTGTGTCTACAATGTGCGCGCGTGTTTGTGTGCGTCATTATCATTACTATCATCATCATCATCGTCGTCGTCGTCATCATCGTCAGTTGATCTTCCACAACGTTACGAGTTTGGTGAAGGTTACACCTACCTGATGAACTGCTTGGAGAGTCAGTCCTTCGGTACCAACTTCGAATGCAAGAACCGCAAGTGTGTCGAGGGCTGGAAAGGCGTAGCCTGCCAGGAAAGGAGTGCGTTTGGGATTGGGAATGAATGTGTGGGAGAGTTAATCAGGATTAGGGTTTTGGGATTTGAAATTCGGGAGGATAATCACCAACTATGGGATTTAAGGCTATGTGATGATGATGGATGGAGAAGGGAGTGGAAAGAAAAATGATGATTGACCTTTGGAGTGTGAGATTAAATTTAGGATTATCATCATCATCATCCTTTTTATCATAATCACCAGCACCATCATCATCATCATCATTACTGTCGGCCACAGCTTGCGACAAAGGCGACGGTAACTGCAAATCGCCACTTTTGACGTGCGCGAGTGCCATGCTGGGAACGCGGAATGTTAGCGAGTGCATCTGCAGGGATAACAAGGGAATGCAAGCTGACCGGAAGTGCAAAGGTTAGTTTCACTGTTATTATTATTATTGTTATTATTATTGTTATTATTGTTATTATTATAAAATATATTATTTTCATTCTATTAACGCTATGGCAACTCTATGTTTATCATAAAATTTGACTGATAACGCCAAATAAGAATGATTGAACCCCAACCGAACCAATTAAACCAGCCCCTCTAGAATGTACTCATATTAGATTAATAGGATTTTAGAGTTATTTCATCATTGATATTCGGTATTTAAAGTTAGAAAATAAATGAATGTTCTTATTATTATTATTGTTATTATTATTATTAATTATTATTATTATTCCATTCATTTGTGGTTCTTGTTGGTGTTTAAACTTTAAAGTTACGGCAATGTTATAAAGAGCAGTAAAAGCTGTAGTTGTTGTGATAGAGGCGAATGAATGAATGAAGGAGTGAGTGAGTGAGTGAATGAATGATTGATTAAATTAATGGATGAATGAATGAATGAACGAACGAACGAACGAACGAACGAATGAACGAATGAACGAACGAACACAAAGCCACAGAGGACATATACCTGCTGGTTGACACGACGAACATTTTGAAGAGTACACTCTTCTACATCATCCTAATCAGCAGTCTGCCACCGTGTCTGCTGCTTATTTACGTCGCTAGGTGGCGAATGAGTTGGTAATGGTGGCGGTGGTGATGATGGCGATTATGAGATAATCATCATCACCATCGTCATTATGAGATAATCATCATTACCATCATCACCATCATCATCACCATCATCATCACCATCATCATTACCATCATCATCACCATCATCATTACCATCATCATTACCATCATCATCACCATCATCATTACCATCATCATCACCAATCTCGCCACCACCATCGCTACCACCATTGCCACCAGACGTCTGGAAGCAAAGGCGGGAAGAGAGAAGGGTTCAGATGGAAGAGTTCAGACGGCTGATGATAAATAGGATATCCTCTATGAGAACCAGAAGAAGCTCCAACGGTAGCTCTTCTTACAACGGGACCAGAGATTCATCAAATGACTGAATAACGATGGTGATGATGATGATGGTGGTGGTAGTGATGATGATGATGGTGGTGGTAGTGATGATGATGATGGTGGTGGTAGCGATGAGAATTGAACATAACTTCATCAAACTTGTCCACATTTTTTTTTCGTTAAAAGAAAATCCATAAAATGAAAAGAGCCCGCTAAGCGAATCATATAACAACAATAATAATAATAATAACAACAACAATAATAATAACAACAATAATAATAATAACAATAATAATAATAATAAAATAATTTTCCGTAAAATAAGAATAATTTAACTCTTCAAAATCTAAAAAGCAGCAGACTCATGTTGAAACAGCATTAAACAAAAAACCACAAACATCTATGGCAGTTTAAATTTACATACATATTAAGACATAAGTTAAACAAGGCACAAATACATATGTATATGTATATATGAATACACACACAAACACACACACACACACACACACACACACACATATATATATATATATATATAAAGAGAGAGAGAGAGAAAGAGAGAGAGAAGTTTTTCATCTTACGGACATACTGATAAATATTTAATATATTAAATAAATAAATTGTATTTGTATTCGCCACCATCAACTTAGTAGTAGTAGAAGTAGTACTTGTTGTTGATATCATCATCATCATCATCAACACCGTCATAATCATCATCATCAACACCGTCATAATCATCATCATCAGCACCATCGTCGCTATCGTCATCATCACCATCGTCAACATTATTGCTGTTGCAGAGAACTTGGCAACAATTTCGGCAACAAATCCGGCGGTGGATATTTGAGGTTGGCGTCATTATTGTTGTTATTATTATTATTGTTGTTGATGTTGTTGTTTTTGTTGATGTTGTTGTTTTTGTTGTTGTTGTTGATGTTGTTGTTTTTGTTGTTGTTGTTGTTGATGTTGTTGTTTTTGTTGTTGTTGTTGTTGTTGATGTTGTTGTTGTTGTTTGTGATCCATGGTTTCGCAT